AACCCTTAGACAGAGCCATTTGGAAGGAACTGTGTGCAAAGTCTTCAATGGACTTATCTTGGTTGTACATCCCCATGGCGACACCACCGCCCTCTGCCAACACAGAAAACAAGAGCAAGGCAAATGTGGCATATATACAATTGGGCCAGAGTCACTGACCATGACCCAAGGACCAAATCTCCCATGTCTGAGCTTGACTTCCACCATCCCAGGTAGGCTTCCACCCTGCATAGTACCTGAATTCCCAAGGCACAAAATGGGGCCAAAGTCAGTTCTGAATAGAATATTCTAATTTATTTTGGAAGGGAGCTAGAAATAAGCAAAACACATGGTCTTTATGATACTGAAATTGCAAAAACTACTGAGGCAACCAGAAATGTACTAGACAATGGGTACAAAATTTTAAATCTGGCTTTTAGGTACTGTAACAATGTTTAATGTGTATTTCAGTGTGGACTAATCCTTAGTAATTGAGATAGATTTGCATTTCAAATACAGAATGAAAAGTCTTTGTAATTTGCCGGAGGCTATGAAGCCTGCTTCCTGTAATTGGTGGAAATAACTGTGCTACATGTAATCCCTGAGGTTTCACAGCTCTTATGAATTGAACTCTGTTATTACTGAAAGTCAGAACTGGAACCCATGCCAATGCCTAAGGTTAACTTGGCTTAGAAAGGAAAAAGTGCTCAAACCTGTAGAACTAGATTCTGTAGAAATGATACCACAGAGAAGCAAAGAAAATAAAAGGTAGGTGTTGGGGTTTTGTTTGTATGAGTGTTTTCGATGACTTTTGGGTGGGATTTTCCCGATGGGACATTTGAAGCAGCAAGCAAATGTTTTACTTTCCCAAGATAAGAAAGTGGGACAGGAAGAACATTCCAGCCAATAAATAATGAAACCAATTCCAAATAAGAACCAGTGCAAAGGGCAAGATCACATGACAGTTGATTTGGGGCTATGAACCTTATTTACACAATTTGTATAGAACAGTCTTGCTACCCTTCCCTCATGTTTTTAGACAGGTGTATATTTTAACTATTTGCTTGTCTTTGTCCCTACTACCAATTAAGTGGATAACTCTTTTATGCCTTTATATATGCCATGAGAAGGCAGAGAAACCAATTACTTTTCTATGTTAGATTTTGGGTTCTGCAGAAATTAGGTTAGGTTATATATATAGTTTTTTTTTTTTTTTTTTTTTTTTTTTTTTTTGGTGGAACTGGGGATTGAACTCAGGCCCTTGTGCAAGGAAGCGCTTATTCTACTGAGCCATCTCCCCAGTCCCTAAGTTGTATTTTTAAGCAGCCACATAACTAACTTTAAAAAGCCAGTAATAACATTGGCCAGATCATATTAAAAAACAAATAGAGCTTGCGATGGACTCATGCTTACCTTCAAAGTTGTGGACCAGGTATGTCACTTTCTGGCTTCCATCACTTGGTGTGTAAGTTATCTCTACCTTCCCAGGCCCAGGAACAACAAAATCAGTTGCTCTATACTGTGGAGGAGGAAGAAAGATAACAAGATATAAAAAACACTCCAACAGAAATTATAAGAAAAAGAAATGCAGTTAGAAAACAGCTAGACAAGTAGGGCAGGGTAGCCTGACCTTAGAGATGAAAAGGAAAAGATCCAGAGAGCTCTTTTAGTTAGTGGTAGTGGACATTAAAACCAATATTTATAAGGTACCTAGCATATACAGGGCAGTCCTATAGAACTAGTTGGGAGAGGGCAGGAATAACATGAGGCACTTTCTTTTAGGAAGCTTACAACTTTGTAAAGACTAACATAAATAAGCCACAGAAGAGTTTTCAAAAGTCAAAAGGGGACTAGGGGAGGTTAAAAAAAATTATATGTGTGTGTGTGTGTGTGTATAGATAGAGATAGAGAGAGAGAGAAAGAGAGAGAGAGAGAGAGAGAGACAGACAGACAGACAGACAGACAGACAGACAGACAGACAGACAGAGAGAGTGAGTGTGAGTGTTGATCATGGCCTAGAAGTGAGGCGATTCATGGAGTATGTGGTAATGATTTTAACTGTAGTACTGAAGGTAATGATAAGAGTGCTAATGCTTGAGCCTTACTACATACCAAGGCTGCAAGTGTTGATCTCATTTAATTGGTACGCAGTCTTATACGGAACTGTGACACAGTGGAAATAATACTTTCTGGCTCCAAGGACTTGGGACCTGGTCCTTACTTAGGTTTTCAAGACTCAATTTCCTCACAATTATCACTGTTACTAACACCAGGCCCATGTCCACATGAAATCATCGTGCTGAAGGAAATTATGACAGGTTGATGATCCCAATACAAGGGCTGTTCAAAGATAGCCATACGCTCTATGGGCGTGAGCCAGTTCAGAGATGTGCCCAGCACATCATGAAGTCACTGTTGCATTTAAACCTTCTTTAGTGACTTGGATTAATCCCTGTCTTGAAGTGAGGTACTGTGAGTGCCAGCCTACTTTAGTTTACAGTAGTACTAGCAACAGTGGGTAAAAGAGCAGTAAAAGAATAAACATTCACTCTACACAGAACACTTCTGGCATAATAAAGTCTTGCATCGTAGAGTAACTTATTCTCAAAAGGAAGAAACTGAGGCACCAAGGGAACATAAGTGCTTTGTAGAGACTTAGCTGTGTGTATATTTAACACTTAGTGAATCAATGTGATGCCTGCAATTAAATGCCTGGGCTTTAAAAACTAGAATGGCCATTGTACCAGATGATTAAAGCCACAAAAAATGTAAGAACATAAGAAAATACAGGGCCAGACAGCTCAGCAGATTAAAGTGCCTGCTTAAGCAGGCACAGGGGCCAGGGTTTGATCCATGTAGTTTAAACCTCATAGAATTCAGATTTCAGATTTGAGTTGGTAAGACTCAAATATAGGAATTAAAGCAGAAAAATAAATAAAAAAAGGAAAAACAAAACAAAATCAAACCACTGAGAAAATCCTAAGGGGATCCTACTGTGAGCAGTTTTGGAAACCGCTGGTCCAGTGGGCCATATGAGACCATAAGAAAAAACCAACACAAAAATGGCACTATCATACAATGTAAAGGATAAAGGAAGACAAAACATGTTTGGAAAAAACCACATGTTCAAATGGATTTGCCTATATAAATTCATCCATATTTATCTAAAGGTGTGCAAATATGAATACCCATACATATTTGCATTTCTCAACTTTTTTTTTTTTTGCGTTTCTCAATTTTGCTTAAGAACAAAACATAAATTGGAAATTCTGGGCATCATACAAAAAATATGGAGAATCAGATCATGTATAAAATGACTTACTTGATCCCCATAGGCATGACGACCTATGATGATTGGTTTTAGCCACCCTGTCACAAGGCGGGGGATATTTTTACAGATAATAGCTTCTCTGAAGATGGTGCCACCCAGAATATTTCGGATGGTGCCATTGGGTGATTTCCACATTTGTTTCAACTTGAACTCCTCCACCCTCTTCTCATCGGGGGTGATGGTGGCACACTTGACACCAACATTGTACTTCTTTATAGCTTCAGCAGCATCCTTGGTGACTTGGTCATGGGTGGCATCCCGATTCTCTATGCCTAAGTCATAGCTTGGGAGGGGATAAATAAAACTTTTTAGCCACACTGATAGATTATGACGTATGACCACAGTAATGGCATGCAGAGCTTGCCATGCAGAAAGTGAAGGCCCCTGAACATAGCCTCATGTGTTAGGTTTTAGCAGGAATATACACTCTGAATACAGAAGGAACTCACACAGACTGGGAGGGCTGCACCAGTCTCCTTGTACTCTCATGGGAAGCTGTGTACCAGGAAACTAGAAACCAACCAATGCTGCCAAACTGCCTCCCGTTTTTCACCATACAGAAGCAATTAGAGCACATGAGTAACCTTTGGCCTGGTTTTCCTTCACACACTTACCATATAACTTAAACCTAGCCACTACCTTTATCTTTCCCTTAGTGAGATTGTACTTTTAAAAATAAAGAAATGGAAATCTCTCTTTTTTTTTTTTTTTTTAATTTTGGCATTAAAGTGGTGCTAGAGATAGACAGGACAATCAGTGCCAACAAAGCCAATGACTCCTTTGTTAATGATGGCTAGGCATGAAGGGAACCTCCCTCTGAGTCTTAGGCAAGTCTCTCCTGGTGACAAGCCTGCAGTGCCTTGGGTAAGTAATGGAACCCACCAATGGTCTTGTACTCACTACAGAATTTTAGCTTAAGGCAGACCAATACCTATTTTTTGTAGGTCATCCAGAGATTTATGAATGCTGGTGGTCCATGGGCATAGAAATGATTGTAAAGCTTTAAAATGTAATAGTTGTTAAAAGTAGTAACAACAAAATAATGTAACTAGTTTATTCTCCAAAACTTAAAAAGTTTCAGCTCTCAAAATTGCAAAGTCATGAAGTCTCATCTTTTTTTAGCTTTTATATCTTTTTTCCTTATATAGCCCAAATGCTGATGCAAGTAGAGATTGTAATCTTGATGCATTATTTTTATTTAATTTTTTTTTGTGTGGGCTATAATCCCACTCCATTTTTAGTTAGTTGTTTTTTGTTTTGTTTTGTTTTTTTGAGTTGGGCGTCTTCCTAAGTCAGTACATTGTCCAGGCTGGGCTCAAAATTGCAATCCTCCTGTCTCAGTCTCCCAGAGTGCTGGGATTATAAGCATGCACCACCATGCTGGATGTTTGATTCATTTCTAGCTTTGATCTCACATAAATCATATAAATCTAACAAGCCATATACTCTGTCTTCTCAGTATCTACAAATATCTAATCCCAACTTCCTAAGAAGTCTGCCTGGCAATTCTCATGTTCTAAGAACCATTTTTTGGAAGAATCTACCAGCAAAGTGGTAGATTGTTTTGCTTCTTTTCTTAATATTTCTAAGAGAAAAGAAAGAATAAATGTTCTGAGACTGACAAGCATGGTGGTGCATGTCTGTAATCCCAGCTCTAGGGAGGCTGAGGCAGGACTGTTTTAAATTCAAGGCCAGTCTAGACTACATAGTGAGTTCAAGGCCAGCCTGAGTTGCATAGCAAGACCCTGTCTCAAAAAAGTGAAACAAAAGTTTTGAGACCACTGTTTGCCCTATGCAACATGATCCAAAAAAACGGTGAATGGTTAAAATTTTAAAATGTGACAATGCATGGGGAGTTGTTCAACAGTCTAAGTGCCTGCATGGCAAGCACAAGGCCCCAGGTTCAATCCCTGGTACTGCATGTTGTGCCAGCACCACACTGTGCCACTGAAATCCAGTGTGGTGGTGCATGCCTGTAATCCCAGAGCTGCGGAGGCCAAGACGGAAGGATCACTGTGAGTCTGAGCCGCATAGTGAGACCTTGTACCAAACAAATAAACTTAAAAATTTTTAAATGTGACAGTAAAAGTCACTCTGCCACTGAGTACATCCTCCCCTGCACCCTGAACACACTGACCCCATCATTGTTGCCACCTTCTGAAGCCGTTCTGGAACTCCTCTTTCACGAGTATCTTTAGTTGTCATAGCTGCCTCAATCTTCTGAAATGACTCAAAACATTGACCTTTCATGGCCATTTTGACTCTGGGGGAGAGCCCGAAGTGACCTCGTGCACCAGTGAATAAGGCGAGTGAGGAAGATGCCCCTCGTGAGGCTGCCTTTCTGCTGGGTAGCAGCCAGTGCAGCATTCACTGTGGTTTTTATCATGCCTCATAAGGACGTGGAAGAGGACTTCCAGAGCAGCTTCAGACACTGGCAAAAGGGTGGGGTGAGTGTAGCTGAGGCGAGGAGGAGCACTTTGAGGGGATTAATGGTGATATCTTTCACTACACTACAACTCAATTAAGTTAGCTCATATTTCGACCATACCTTACACATATAGTAAACTATCTAACCATTTCACTCCCCTATCCACAAGAACCCCGTAGTAGTAATAATAATAATAATAATAATAATAATTCTGGAATAACCTAAAATTCTTTTGAGCCCCCACAAGTTCCTTGTTCTAGGACCACTGAGTTTTCTTCCCAGGTATAAGGACCCCATGTCCAAAAGGTGAGAGGATCAAGGTATCTTTGGAGTCATTATACTGGGTCCTGCAGACTCCTCTAAGTTCACCCACTGTAATACAAAGCTACGAAATAGGTAAGTTTGTGAGGTGCTTCTTCAACCCATTTAGAAGCTAATTTTGCAGACAGAGTTGTGCTATGTGGTTTAGGCAGGCTGGCCTTGAACTCACCAGGTAACCCAAGCTGGGCTTGAACTTTCAACAATCCTCCTGCCTCAGCCTCCTAAATGCAGGGATTACAGGGCCTGGAAGCTGGGGTTTTTTTTGTCTTTTTTAAATTGTATTTAGTACAGGGTCTACAGGGTCTCACTACACAGTTCAGACTTGTAGTTATCCTCTTGTTTTCAGCCTCCCAAGCACCAGGATCACAGGAGTGTGCCACCACACCTAGTCTCAATCACCAGCTCAGCATGCTGGGGGTGGGGGTGGGGTGGGCAGGCATGGCAAGCCAGGGATTGAACCCCAGGACCCTGCATCTGCCTAAGCAGGCGCTTCAATCCGCTGAGCTATCTGGCCAGCTCTCTGGAAGCTGTTTTCATTCTTCTTTTCCTCTATGTTTCCTCAGTGTCTGGCAGCACTGTCTTTACATCTCTGTTATGGTTGCAATGCAGATGTTATCGGCAGCTTAGGCTAAGAACCATTAAAAAGGGTGCCTAACAGCACCACAAGAACTGCCTACACCCAAGCTACTAACAAGTCTTTAGAATGCATTCTGAGTAATTTTGAGGTAGGGCAAATTCACTTACTGTTGCCAATAGTTTGTTGGAAATATTACGCAGTATTACATGTGCCATTCTTTAACCGCCTTCAAATGTACAAAGAGCAGGAGCATGCTTATGAAGAACATGGGGCTGAAGGCCAGCCTGAACTACGCAGTGAGGCCTTGTCTCAAAAAAGACAAAACAGACAAAACAAAACAAATACAAAAACAAAGAAAAAAGAAAAAGAAAAAATGAATCCAGCATAAAGGACCACAAGGGGGCCCAGGGAAGTGCCGTGGAAGCCGAGTACTGAGGTAAGTCACTGCAAAGGCTCCTTCTGCGCTGCGATTGTACGAAAAGGGCGAAAGCCAAGAGGCACAACAAGGTAAAACATCGCGGACTAACTAAATACAGGGGTAGAAAACTGGGCTTGCAGGGGCAAAATTGTGCGCTATGGTTAGTTTACTGTTTTCCACATTCTCTATTTTCTCTTCCACAAATAACACATTGTGCCACTGACTTACTACAAACAAAACTGTCACAGGAAAGATAGGATTAGAAAGATGTGAAAATCACTTTGTTTTCCTCTTCTTGATCTTTTAATAATTATAGACCCAGTTTGTTAAAGTAAAAGATTCATCATATATTGGGGCTAAAAAGAAAAAAAAAAAAAAGCATTAGCCACAAAACACAACTATGTCAATGTAAAAAACAAAAAAGCCCACGATACCCATGACATATAATTTATGTTTTCTGAGTTTGCCAGCTCTGTGGAGGCGTTCATGTACCTGTGCAGATCGAGTTCCACATAGGGAAAAATGAGTTTTTCTTTAATCAATTCCCAAATGATTCGTGTCATTTCATCTCCTTGCATCTCTACCACAGAACCACCATGGATTTTTCCAGACATTTTTGCTGATGATAAACCTGAAAAGAAAAAAAAAAAAAAAATGACATATGCCTTAATCATTTAGTTCATTCTAAAGTAAAAATGAAATCTAAACAATTTGGTGGCTCTTAAGAGTTCATAATAGCACCGCTGCATAAAGTGCTAACAACCACAACGAGTACACTGACAAGCAGCTGGGCGCCTGCTGTGTATGAAGGGCTGTTGACACGCTTTGCCCGTGGCTTCTGAGTCAGCCCTATGAGACCAGCCTAGACGACGGAAATTATCTTATTGTGACAATAATAATTATAATTATAATAATTATCTTATTTCTCTTATTTAAGAGAAAAATAGCTTTGCCAAGGACACCTGGCTAGAACATGGAGAGGTTGGGGGACCCTGTAACATAGGCTTAATAAAATCATCTTTTCAACTACTGGTTTATCTTAGGAAATGTTATTTTTCCATAATACCACATTACTTGAAAGTTCTACCCTACTCCTCATTTTCCTGGGCCTACAAGATACGCAGAATGAGGACATGCACCAAGCTATCTTCCTGAAAGAGTTAAAAGGCATCATACCACAGTGATATATGCATACCTGTGCTTATAGAGACATGGCGTGTAGTAGCTAAATCTTGGAAACAACCCATCAACTGAAGAGTGGATAAAGATGTGGGTTTTTAAAAAAATACAATGGAGTACTACTCAGCCATAAAGAAGGATAAACTCGAGACATTTCTAGGTAAATGGATGTACCTAGAGACCATACTCTTAAATGAAATAAATTTGGTACCTGTGTTTAAATATGATGTTGTTTCTCTGGTATGAGAAATCAGAAGTATAAATAAGAATCAAAATGTAATGTAAAGCAAATATTACAAAACAAGAAGAAAACGTTAAGATGGAAAGAGAAACTAGGGAGAGAGAAGAGGGAAAAGGAGGGGAAAAGAAAAAAAGAGAATAGGAAGAAAATTGGAAACAGCTCTGCAAATGAAGGGAAGTGGGATTGAAGGGAGGGGAAGTGGATGAGAAAAAAGTCTCAAGATATATCACGTACAATTACAAACTCCCTACAATAAATGCTACCATGATGTATATCTAAAGTATAAACTGCACCAATAAAAATTAATTTAAGAAAATAAGGACATTAAACTGGTTCCTAGGTAAGCCTTAATTTCTGTGGCAAGCCCATGTATATTCCCAACTCACAGGCCCATTTCTACTTCCCAAATTTGTAAACCTTGAATCGAGGTTACTAGAATGGAGGAGGTTCCCTTGACCATTACTGGGAAACCTTCTGGAACTCAACTGGAATAAATAATGCAAAACAAAATAAAACAAGAAAAGTGTGGATGGGGGCCAGGGAGATAGCTCAGTAGAATAAGTGCTTGCCTGGCAAGTGCAAGGGCCTGAGTTCAATCCCTGGTTCTGCCAAAAAAAAAAAAAAAAAAAAAAGTGTCTAGGATTCTATCACACTTAATGCCACCATTGCACCATTTTTTTTTTTTTGGGGGGGGGGCTCCAGTGCTTTTTGAGACAAGGTCTTCATATGTAGTTCAGGCTGGCCCTGAACTCACTAAGTAGCCTAGAATGCACAGCAATCCTTTTGGGATTACAGGCATGAGCCACCATGCCCTACCTGTACCTTGCTTTAAACAAAATCTTGAAACAAAGCAAAAACATTAGACAGCAAACTTATCTTGGTTTTGGTATTACATTTTCAAGGCCATGTACTTACACAGTATTATGCAACAATATGACTTGGCTATTTTTCCTTGGTGCCAAATACAGTTCACAGAAAATCAGACCCTGCACTAAAGTATCAGAACTGAAGAACCGAGTGTCAGTATTTTTCAGTTATTTCCTTCTCAGTGAGTACGACTTCCTGCAGTAATCTTTCTACACCTTATTCATAAGTGACACCTCAGGTTGTTCTCACATTATTTGTCCACCTTTAAATGAGAAGCTTTAGTATTACTACAATATATGACATTATTGCATTTTTTTTTCTGGGTTTGATTTCCAAAAGGTGGGGTTTGGATGCCACCAAATTTACTGCATTCTTGTGCCTCAGAGATTCCACTCCCACCAGCCCCAACTTTTTTTTTGCTCTGAATGCCTTCAGGGCAGGTTTGGCTGGCTTGAGTTGTGGGGATTGAACCACAGCAACCTCCTGAGCCTGACAGCTTTGTTGAAGCCGCCACTTAAAGAGCTGAGCTACGGGGCAGGCCCCCAAAGGCAGAAGGACTTTTTTTTTCAGCCCCAACTTTTGAAGAAAGAGAACTCCGAGGGTGAAGTCCATTTACAGAGTCTGAAGGTGCCTCAATTCCAATCTCCTGACAAACTTGTGTTACTCCAGAAATTAACCTGGAGTCATGAGAGTAGTTTAACCAAAAACATGACCTTTGCTCTAATTTTAATTATACCAAGCTAAACTTTTATTTATTTATTTATATTTTAACTGAATTCAAGATAATTTCTGGGACACAAAAATCTGCAGAGCAAAGGTGTTGAGAATTTATTGTTTGACAAAACCAAGGAATTTATTGTTGAACCTATTCCTACTTTTCTTGCAAAGCCTACACTTGCTCCAACACAGTATTACTACATCAGAGAAAGTACAGAAGAGAGGAAATCGCTTTCACCGTCACAAATGAATCGTTTTTTTCTTGTCACTCCCATCTCCTTGTAATATTGCAGACTCAACTAAACGTAGTTTATTTCCTGAACAAAACAAAATCGGGAACCGAAAGCCATAACGTAGGAAGCAACCCTGTCCTAAGGATTTAGCTGTTTTTAGTACCTGCCAACTAACCCGGCTTATCAGGTGTAAAGTTCAGTGCTATGCTGTATCTAGAGGGGCAAAGGGCAGGTTTCAATCCATAGACACTTTTCAAAGAAAGGTCGAAGTGGTACAAACAGCTGTGGGTGCATCGTAGGGCATCTCTCGGCTGCCCGCCTGCTAGTGCATCTAGGGGGTTGCACGTCCTTGGGTGACGCTGGTGGCCTGCAGTGTTCCCGTTACCGCTTTGCAACAGGGCTGCAAACCCAGCTGGCTCGGTTCCTCCACGATGTCCACTAGCCGCCTCCCGACATAAGAAGGCTAGAACGCCACTCCCAGGACCGCAGTCCGGAGAGGCCGTCTCTACAGACCCCGCGGTCTACTACCTGGCCGATCGTGTGATAGCTGGTGACAGCAGCAGAGCCGCGCCCCTAAGCCCAGGAGAACTCAGCCCTGGCCTCGCTGCTGTGCCTGGATTCCCAGGGAACCCAAGGGCCAGCACCAGTTTCCTCCCGGGTTCTGCCCCGCCCCTCCCACCTCGGGGCGCGTATCCCCGCCCCCCCCTCCCCGCAACTTCGGCTCTTCTGCCAGCTGCCGGGGCTCCCTGCGCCCCTCTGCGCCGAGCTTACCTCCGGGTGAGGCCTGAGAAGAGCAGAGGGGCGGCCACGGTACGCACACGTTCTGACGCACTCACACGTACAGTCCGTACCCGGCCGGCGTCCGAGCTTCGAACACCGAACGGTGCAGACCAGGGACTGAAGGGCGGGGTCCGCGCCGCGCCTCTTCCCCTCTTTTGTCCCCTCCCGGGTCCCACCCTCTCAGCCCACGGAGTCCCGCCCCTGCCACTTCACCAATCGCCGCACGCCGTCGCCTCAGCGGTGGGCGGGGACAGAGTATGGGCGGGGCCAGAGCTGTAGTGGGTGGAGTCCAAGGCCTAACCTTTTGTGCACTCTGAGGACTGCTAGGATTCCTTCTGACACCCCGCCTTGGAGGAACGCGAGCGCCACCTGCAGGCGGGAGTTGGGTGCGGGGCCCAGGGCTCCGAAAACGTCCCGGGCGACCCCAGTCTGGCCCAGTTCCGGGCCCCCGCAGAGTGCCCTAAGTGGAAACTGCGGAGAAGCAAGACCTCAGAGTGCAACTAGTGGACGCGGCGGAGCAACCACGCCCTGCAGATATTGCCTGTCACCATCACGAGGTCTTGTGGTCTTCTGTATCTCTACACGCAGTTATTACTCTTTATTATAAATAAGCCCCATTCATCATTTGCATTGGAAGATAATAAAGCAAACCAGAGGTGTGGCGCACGCCTGTAATTTCAGTACTGGAGGAAGCCGGGGCAGGTGGATCCAAGTGGCAGGGCAGCCAAGGCAGGTAAGGCAAAGGTTTGTGAAGTTTGAAATACCTGTGGCGTACTACAATAGAAATGTGCAGGAGAGCCGCTTGTATCTGGAGTTCCGGAGGCGTGGATGGGCTGGAAAGAGGAATCAGGAATCTTTAGCTCAGAGTAACAGTAGTTGAAGTCAGAGCGCGATTACCTGGGACTTCAGTCAGAAGAGCCACCTCCTGCTGAACTTTGAACGCTCACACCTGGTAAGGCCAGAAAGCACAGAGCTCACCATACAGAGTGGCAGTGGGAGAGCCAACAGAGCTCCACGAGTGGAAGCCAACAGATGAGAAAGTTTTCAAAAATGGAGGAAGCACTGCGGAGAGATTTTATTTATCTATTTATTTAGAGGTATTGGGGATTGAACTGAGGACCCTACACTTGACAGGCAAGCACTTATTCTACTGAGCTGTCTCCCTGGTCCTTAATGGAGAGATTTTAGAAAGTGAAAATAATATTTGCAGGTAGGTACTCCTACTTGCACGCACTTTCAGTAGAAGGATTCTAGCAGCAATATTGTGATTGAAATCGTACTATAGGAGTTTGAAGAGTGAATGACAGGTATGGAAAGAGACGAAAAACTTCCAAGGCAGGTGATTGTGAAGCGGAGAATAATGCATTAGAAGGTTTTATTGATTTCTATTAAGCTTACTGGTATATTCTAAGGGTACACAATGATCATGTTCATCACAGGGAATTTGTACCTGTGCACGATATGATTAGTTTTCCTCCCCATCCCCTCCCATCAACTCCTCTTCCTCTCCTTACTTACAAAGGCTTTATTTCCAATTTTCTTTCTTTACTCACTTGTTTCCTTTTCCTTTCCCTCCTCCCCCTCCTAGTTTCTGTTCCCATTTGAACGTTTTCTTATTTCACAATCTGTTACACATTTTGGTCCTCATTTACGCTTTTAGTTTCTCACACACGAGAAAGCATGTGACATTTACATGTGTGTCTGACATTATAAGGTTTTGTTAAACATAATTTTTGATAGCGACTATCATTTGTATTATTTGCATGGAATAATCTTGTCACTAAATAGTGACTATTCACTGCACAAAAAGGAAATAACCTTATTTCTCACACTGTATGTTATGGTTTGTGTGTAGGTGTCCCCCCAAAGCCTCATGTAATCATGGGGTGGCAGGTTTCTAGCGTTTGTGAATAATTCATGATCCAATGCTGGGATTATGGGAGTGAGTGCTGCTGTGATTATGGGTGTGAGTGCTCACTCACCCCAGGGCAGAGAGCCTGCATGTAATACAAGAAAGGAAAGAGGCTTGCTCTCTGCCTCTGCGCTGCTGCCATGGCTCCTCCCTTTTTGTTCTTGCTTTTTTTTTTTTTTTTTTTTTGCCACTGTGAACTGCTGCCTTCTGCCACGTGCCAGTCTGCCTTGGAGTCAGCTGAGTGTAGACTGAAATCTCCACAAACTGTGAGCTAAATAAAAAGTAACCAAGACACAATATACAAAAATAAACTCAAATTGCATTAAGTATGTGAATATAACACCTGAAAATGTAAATTGTTAGAACAAAACTTAGAAGATAAGTCCCACAATACTGGCCTATGTAATGAGTTTTAGGGTAAGTATGACTGAACAAGTCAGGCAACAAAAGCAAAATAGACCAATGAAATTATAGCAAACTAAAAAGGGGTCAAAAGCTAAGGAAATAATCAAAAGAATAAAGAGACAACCTATGGAATGGGAGAACATATTGGCGAACCACACATTTGGTAAGGCACTACTATCCAAATCTATAGGGAACTCAAGCAGGTCCAGAGCAAGAAAACATATAACCCAATTATAAGTAGGCAAAAGTTGTATACAGTCACAAAATATAATATATAAATAGCCCATAGGCATATGAAAAAATGTTCCACATCATTAGCTATCAGAAAAAATAAAACCACAATGAGAGATCCCATCACCTACCTATTAGCTTGGGTGTTATTAAAAAGTCAAAAGATAACAACTGGTAGAGAGGATGTGAAGAAAAGGCAGCCCTTACATATTGTTGGTGGGAATGAGTTTTCTACCCCTTTTTTCCATGGAAATTAAACTGGAAGCTCATGTAGATATTAGATTGCAAGCTTCCGGAGGACACAGACTTTTGTCACATTCACAGTTTTATCCTTCAGGTAATGCCTACCTGACACATTGCTGGTACATTCAGTTTGTGGCAAAAATGTTTGTCAAATGGGTGTTTCTTTTTACCATATATATGGTATGGTACCATACCATATACCTGGACTCTTTGTTCATATTATCTCTAGTTTATTTTATACTTTATTATACATTTATGAAATCGTTATAGTTTTTTTTTTTTAATTTTTATTTATTTATTTATGTGTGTGTGTGTGTGTGTGTGTGTGGCCAGCTCAGCCCACCAGGGGGCGGGCTGGCTGGCATGTGGTGCTGGGGGATCGAACCGCGGTCCCTGATGCTTTGCCAAGCTAGTTCCAAGTAGGTGCTTTAGACCACTGAGCCATCTCACCAGCCCAAGAAATCGTTATAGTTTGGGGCTTTGCAAGGAGGGGAAACAATACAATACAGGGCATTAATTATAATATTTTATAATAGTCATCCCAAGAATCGTATACAAAAAGAGTGCAGAAAATCTATCCGCACCCTAAAGACCAAAAGAATCCAGCTGAGGGCCTGGATCCCACAGTAAGGTCCTACATGAGTCCAGCTGAAAACCTGCAGCATATAACAATTCCCCCTAGAGTCCCACCGGAAGCCAAGAGTCCACGACAAAGCCTCATGCAGGTCTGTTTCACAGGTGTGTGCTGGGAAGGCTCAGAGGTCAGTGGTAGAAGCTAGAAAGTCTGTGCCAGCAGAGTGAAGGCTCCATACTAGTGGGCTGAGGGATCTGCACTGGAGCCAGAAAGCAACACTCAAAGTAAAAACCAAAGCTCCCCCAAAAGGTTTCACAGCCATCCTTAGTGACAGCGAGGTCCTGAGCTCCTCCAGTGATAAGAACAGCTGGGCTCCTATCAGGAAAGCCAATGTGACAAACTTCTTCAGGGGACTGAGTAGTGCACCATCTCTCCCTCCAGACCCAGGAAGTGATGCTCAATGTGAGGATCAGAGCTCTCCCAATATGAACCATCACCATTCTCAGATGACCAGGTTCCAAGTTCCTCCCACGAAGACAGACGAGCTAATCAGGAAAGCCAGCATGAAAAGCACCGCCAAGAGGACCAATAGCTCCCTAATGGCTTCCCAACCATTAGTTTCTTATCCAGTTCTGCCTCTTATACTGCTGGCAACAATCCCCAGGTGGGCTTCCCACACCTAGCGCCATGCTAGTTCAGTTCAGCTGGGTGTTACAAGTTGACCACCAGTATTAACACCCAGTGGATTCATTTAAGGACTTTATTTATCTATTTAAAAAAAATAAAACAAACAGGTTCTCACTATGTGTTTCAGGCTGGCCTTCAATTCACTGTGTAGTCCAGGCTGACCTTGAATTCATGGTGATCCTCCTGCCTCAGCCTCCCAAGTTAGGGATTATAGGCATGTGCCATCATACCCAGTAAATTTAAAGACTTTTCTGCCTTATTTTTAAAAAATTTTTTTAAGAAGGCAGAGACTTGAACATCCTTACAGGCTGATGAGGAATTCATTGGAAAAGGTTTGGTTGTAGATATAGCACAAGCTTCCAGGGCCTGGGGCCCAGCACATTGCACTGGGACAGAAGAGGCTTCTGTGTCCCAAAGGTAATGAAGTGAGGCTGGGGCAGCTTGTGATGGGTGTTGTTGGGTCTTTAAACGTTGCACCCAAGGTAACATTTTTTTGGAGGGGAGCTTCTCTGTTGGAAAGGATATTCAAGGTAGTGGGAGGGGGAGATTTGGAATAGGAGTGATTTTTTTTTTTTTTTTTTCTCTTTTTTAAAAAAGTTTTCTTGATAAACAGAGAGCAATGAGACAGCTTTAATTTGCTGAGCTACCTGCCTTTTTTTTTTTTTTTTTTTTTTTTTTAACCAGGGATTTAACTCGGTACCTTCCACTTGCCAGGCAAACCCTTACTCCACTGAGCTATCTCCCTGGCCCCAGGAGTGAAGAATGGAAGAGGAAACTACACACACGCTCTAGAAAGACTGCTGAGCTCCCAGTTGAGAACGACCAGGAGTCATGCCGGTGCCAATGTGCAGGTTTCTGTGGCACAGCTCCAGCAGCTGAAGAGACCAGCTGAGGGGAACTGGGTGGAGGTTTGCCACAAGTTTTGAGGAAAAGGATCTACAGGATTCAATTCAAAATAGCACCTCTGATTTCAGTCAAGAGGTTTGGCCATTTTTTTTTTTTTTTTTTTTTTTAGTTACTTCCACAGCATTCTGAACAGGACAAAATGACGACCACAGCAGCAAGACCATGCCAGATAGAACTCAGATTTATCTTGATTCACATTGGCAAAACAAGACTTACATAAACATGACTTACACTGTAAGGGATTGTGCCAATTGCTTTACTTGCCTTATTTTAGTTAATGCGTAACAAGTATGCATGAAGTGGTACTGCCATTATTAAACTCAGATAGCAGTCTCCCTCAGACTTTGGGGAGACGGGGAATGGGAAGGGGGAGGTGGAAAGGGAAACTGATCAAGGAAACTAATCAAGACACGAGGTATGAACGTACTACTCCAAACGAATAAAATAAAAAATCCCCCCCCCCCCCCATGAGCTATTTCTAAGGCTCTCTGCTAGTTATTGGCGAAGCCTGTTAGTCTGATGGCAGCTTCTTATCTCCGAACTGCTCCAGAGTACCCACAGTGCGCAGCACACACGGACCGTAGCCCCACCAGCACCGGCCAAGGCACTCAGCGCACTTCCGCGTGATGCTCACGCGCGCCTAAGTCCCCGCTTCCTCTAGGAAAGCCGAACTCCCCCGCGCCCCTCGGGCGCCTGTCAAGATGAGCAGTTCGACGTTCTCTGCGTTAGACTGCTTTTGCTTAAGCATGTGATCCGAGCGTCGTGCAGGCGGAGCGTAGGGGGTGGAGCCTATCCTCGGGGAAGGTTGAAGATTGGTAGAGAGGAGGAGCAGGGGGCGGAGCCTGGGGGGAAGCCCGACGCCGCAAAAACAGTGTAAGCAGCTTCGCTTCCTGCAGCAACCGCCGGCTACTCTTGAGTCTCGCGGCTGCGCCCGGGGCGAGCTTCCAGCGCTGGAGTTGGGTGAAGCAGTGGCCGGGGCGGAGGGAGGCCGGCGGGGCCGGGGCGGGAGGTACAGGTACAAGAGGGTGCCTGGGGTGCTTTCCGCTGAGGCTGGTAGTGGGGAGGAGGCCAGCTTGAGGCGCGCCAGGCCGGAACGGAGGGGGAAGCTGAGGTAAAGCGAGCGCCGGGGCTCCACCGCCGGGGTCTAGAGGCCGGGCTGTGGCCGCGGCTGGGCCGGGACGCGCGGGGGACCTGTTCAGAGGGTTAGCGGGGCTGCTGGGTTCCGGAGCGCGCCTGTCTGGCGGGGTACGGTAGCCGGGAGGGGCGCGTCTTTGACGGACCCTTGACACCTGGAAGTTGCGGTGCGCCCCGGTCCTTGTGCACAGTTTACTTGGGAGATGAATGATCTGCTGGAGGAAGCCCGTTACGAGTCCTAGGTTTCCCATACGTATTTATCTCCCTGAATTCTTAAGCCATTTGACAGGATTCCACGTCAGTATAGTATTTTAAAGTGTCTTTTGAGGGGGAGACTTGATTTTCCAGTTTTCCCAATTAGTAATGCATTTCCCTTTAAAAATGTTCCGAACGAAAGTATGGGAATGGATGGAGTGAGTGGGTAATTCTAGGCATTTGTGGGGGGATGGTGTCCAGTTTAGCAGTGATCTTTCTTAAGATAGTCAAGAAATAGAATCGCTGGGATTTTGTGTAAAGCGAGTTATTTCTATTGTGATATGTTAAATTATCAAATATTGATTCAATTCATCCTTTTCTGTAAAATTAAGTACAATATTGACAGTAGAGGTAGTTGTTTGGCGTTCTATACTTATTTCTGATTTACTTGGACCTTGTTTTCTGCCCCTAGGATGTTTTTAATTTTTTTTGTTTTCTCTTTGGTTTGGGCTTGTGACAAAGATTGTTCAAGTCTCTTCTGAGAAACAAGACTAATTTCTTGAGTCCTCAGTTTCGTCTTTCTGGGGAAAGTAATGTGGATCATGTAATTTTTTTTTTCATGCACTTTTTTTTTGATATACTGGCTAACAATTTTAACAGGAAAGTGTTCTTGATGGAAGCCACTGTTAGTGATATTGAGCTGTCTCATGTTATCAGATAAATTTTGAATATTTAAATAAAACTGTAGTTAGAAATGACTGAGCTGGTATGTGTATTTTCCATTTAGAACTTCAATATTGGCTGACAAGATCAACTTATTTTCTACATTTTAATATGTGATTAGCTCAATGATTGGCTTTACCAACAAGATTGAGTGGTAGTGGGTCAGCATATTTTGCACTAACCTTGAAATAGGAAAAGGTAAATTATTGGTGAAATGCTAGAGGTCTTTAGCTAAGTAGGTTAATATTTCTAACTACCTTTCAGGAAAGAATCTTAGTTTGTATCATGAACAGTTATTAAAGTGCCAAAAAAAAAAAAGAGCTGTAATTAGTTTTATCAGGAACTATATATAACTTATGTTTTGGAAACTTCACTGGCTGCATGTTTTGCTAACAATTTTTATCTTTGTATGTCCAAAGCCTAATGAAAATTTTGTGTCTAGATGACCTTTAGAAGTAATTCCAATTGGGGCTGGGGAGATGGCTCAGTGGAATAAGCGCTTCTCTGGCAAGCGCAAGGGCCTGAGTTCAATCCCCAGTTCCGCCAAAAAAAAAAAAAAAAGTAATTCCAAGACATCAGGCAGCTTGCTAACTCTGATGTTAATTTGAAGAAATAGAATGTAGGCTGTTTGCCGAGGCTTGAAAGTTGTTGCTGTCACCAGATTATCCTTTTGTGCTTTTTTTTTTTTTTTTTTTAAGTAACAAAAAGCGTTAGGTTTTTTTTTTTTTTTTTCTTTTTCTTTTTTTAATTGGTTGTTGTTGGTCATTCTGGATCCAAGGACTTGTGGACGCTAGGCCAGCACTCCACTACCAGTTCACACCCCCAGTCAGAAAACTTGGATTTAGACATTTTTTGGGGAGGCACGGTCTTGCTATTTAGTTCTGGCCTGGAACTTACTGTGTAGCCCAGGCTGGCCTTGAGCTTGTGGGGAGTGTCCTGCCTCAGGCATACGTCACCACACCTGGCTGGAAAATTTCAGTTTATACTTGATAAATCACCATCTTATTTCCCAAAATTTTTAAGTTGAATTATGGTCTGTCATGATACTTAAGGATTGTTTTCTACTATTCCTTAAACAAGATCGTATCAGAGACCTCTTCTCTCCTTCCTCCATTCTTTTTTCTTCACCCCCTACTTCAGTGAACATTTATGGCCCCAAATCAAGTTCAAGTTAGTGGTTTTGTTTCTGCTTTAACTTATTTATTGGTTATTTATCAGAAAAAGCCTTGAGTAGTTAGAGAATGTAAATAGACTAGAATGGAAGTCCGTGAATTTTGGTATAAAGAAGAACTTTGCAGTTAAACTTGGGCTCTAAGACAAGTCCACTACCATCTCCATGACCCCCTGAGGAAGTTGTAGGTTCATTGTCTGTTGGCTGCCTCAAAGGTACAGTGTAGTAGTAAGACCTGCTCTTAGTGCCTTTTATGATTATGGTAAAAATAAAGTGGTAGATAAGATTTTGAAGGAGAAAAGCATTGTAAAATGGTATAATATCACTTTGTAAAGTATAAATTAGCTTACAAATGATAACATTTTAATAACTGGAGAGTTATATTTTCTGTTTTTGAAATATAAATTTAAATGCCAAACAATAAGGCAACTCATTCGGGAGTCCTCTCTCCCTGAATCTATTCTTATTTCCTGTTCCCCTATTCCTATTTCCCTTTTCTTTTCTCCATTAAATTTTTCTACTCTTAACCTCCCTTGTTCCTTAGAATTCATTATTTGACTTCTGGGAACACAAACCCACTGTATTTGAAATCTAGTATTTCCCTTGTGTCATTTAGGAGGTTCTGCTGAGATACTTGGAAGGAGTTGTGTCTTTTTATTTATTCAAGCTGGCCTTGAACTTGCTTATAGTTTATGCTGGCCTTGAATCCCACTTTTCTCCTGCCTCAAGTTCCTAAGTATTGAGATTAAAGGTGTGTACCCCCACACCTGTTATAGCTCAGATTTCTAAATGCTTTAAAACCAAAGATACTGGTTATTATTTAAATTGTTTTCTATAACAGATTACAATAAAGTTGGATAACTTATTAAAATAATAAAAAATAGACAAAATGCTAAACAATAAACCTTAATACTTTACTGTATTCTCTAACTAGTGTTGTTTTTAGATTTATTTTTGACTGAATTAAGATTTTTCATTATTTAGAAATAAAGTTCTTTAAGATCTTTATCTTTGGGGCTGGGGAGATGGCTCAGTAGAACAAGCACTCGCCTGGCAAGTGCAAAGGCCTGAGTCCAATCCCCAGTTCCGCCAAAACAAACAAACAAAAAAACCTTTATCTTTAGTATATATGAGTCTATTTTTCTTTTTTCTTTTTTTAAGAGCAGAATATATTGAGGGAAAGAGAGAGGGACAGAAAGGGACCTGAGTTGTTTGCCTAGTATTTGTATGTTTAGGCTTAAAGAGAAAAACCCAGGCTCATGCATCTAGGCTGAAAGATGATGGAGAGTGCCTTATGAGTTGAATAGTCATCACAGGGGATGAGGGGTGGTTTGAGCTAATTGTGGAGATTATGCAGAAATGTCATCATAGGGTGGCTATTTCCTTTCCTTTTCTTAATTTATTTGTTATTCTTTTCAAATAAAAAGTTGAAATAAATTCATGTGCTTATGTAAAACCAGTTTCCTCAATAACTTTAAAAGTTGGTATCATTTTTTTCCAAAAAAAAAGAGCTATAAATGATAGGAACGTGTTTTTTTTCTTTTGCCTGTTCAGATTTATGTCTTTCCTGCAAAGTTTAATTCATTTTATTAGTGTTGAAAATAAGATTGATTATATAATCATAGTTTTAGATTTCCAGAGTCTTTTGCTCTAGGCAGCAGTCTCTTATGCCTTAACTGTAATATGGTAAACCAGATGTATTTTTGGTTTTCATAGATAATTATCACAGAAAGGATTTTCTAGATACTTGCATGTTGTTTTGGTTCAACTTTTGCTTTCTGAAAATTTACATCTCTTGCTTCTCTTTTTTAGACCCATGAAATGGCCACAGATGATAAGACTTCCCCAACAGTGGACTCTGCTAATGATTTGCTTCGATCTCCTACTAGTCCTTCTCATCTCACACACTTTAAACCTTTGACTCCTGATCAGGATGAACCGCCTTTTAAATCAGCGTATAGTTCTTTTGTAAACCTTTTTCGATTTAACAAAGGTAAGACTAGTTCTTTTTCTTTGTATTTTATTTTTATTTTTTAATTAATTTTGTTGAGAAAGAAATACCAATGAGATGGCTTCAAAAAACGTTAGTAGGACAGTTACAATAATTAATACATTGCATATTGTCATCTTCGTAGTATTCATACTACAAGATGCAGCTTATATCTTGTCTAAATGCTATTAGTACAAATCTTCTCATTGAACTAAGAAAAAGTAGCTATATATCTATCCTATTTTGTATATACAGATATATATACAAATATATATATATACTTTTTTCACTACAAAATGGTCCTTCATTTATATTCCCCCTTTTTGCTGAATGCATGCATCTACAATGTTTGAATGGCAATGGAATACCCATCTCTGACAAAGATTTGTTCCTTTTTTTTTGTGGAACCAGAGATTGAACTCAGGCCCTTGTGCTTGCCAGGGAAGCGCGTATTCTACTGAGCCATCTGCCTGGCCCCTAAGACTTGTTCTTTTTTACTTTTTTTTTTTTGTGGTACCAGGGATCGAACTCAGGACCTTGTGCTTGACAGGCAGGCACTTATGCCACTGAGCCATATCCCTGGCACTTGACTTGTTCTTAAAGAACAGAAAACTTCGAGTTCTGATTCTTTGCAATTCTGTTATTCAGTTTTCAGGCTGTGTCTTTGCAAGAAAGTGAAATATTAACAGTGTGATAGCTTTAGTCATAGGTTTTGGACTTTCTGCCTAAGAAAAAAAGCTAGAATTTTCACTGCCAGCTCCTTAATTATTTGTAACTGAAAGTCTGAATTGAAAAACTAAATGTTAAAAGGAGGTTCCTTTGTAAAGATAAAGTAGAATTTGTTGGTTTTTCAAATTTTTTATTAATGTACTTTAACCTTTTTAAGTTTACAGAGTGGACTTTGTTTTTGGAAGGTTAATAGCCAAAAGATTTTAATTAAAGCACTGAGGGAGCAGTGCATGGGAGGGAAGATTTTTACTTTAAAAAGTTGGAAGTTGTTAGCAGGATTGTTATGACTTGAATCCCTAAGATGTACCTGATATGGAATGGAAAGATACTTCTATTTAAGTGTTGATGGTTTTGGTTTTTTGAGACAGAGCTGTTTCGGGCTAGTCTTGAACTTGTGATGCATGCAGTGACCACAAGTCCTCCCTGAGTGGATAACAGGTGTGTGCCACCATGCCTGGCTGGGAAGATACTCCTAAAATGAACTCTCCTTAAGTAATATGTTTTGTATCTGGAAGAAGAATTTAAAAAAAAATATAATCCTATTATCTTTTGCCATCAATTTGTCTTTATTGTTTGAAATATGTTAGAAAGTAATCCTGTAAGGAATTTAGGGGGTTAATAGTTTTATCAACTCAGTAGATGTTTTAGTAGAACTGAATTTTATTAGTGGGCATGTTTAATGTCTTATAAAAATTGTTAGCATAAAAAAATTGTTAGCATATTTTTGAAACTATGATTTTTTAAAAAAGAAACTTTATGTTTTAGAATAGTTTTAGATTTACAGAAAAAGTGGGAAGATAGTACAGTGAGCTCCCATGTGAACCCACACTGGGTTTTCCTTCTTATTAATATCTTACTTTAGTATGGCACATTAGTTACAATAACTGAACTGTTGACATGTTTTTGTTAATGAGTGTATATTCTGTATTTTGTTTAGATTTCTTTATTCTTTATCTAATGTCCTTTTTCTATTTCAGAATTCCATTCAAGATATATTACATTTAGCTTCATAGAATAAAACTTTATTACCTTAGCAAATATTTATTGAGAACATAGACACTTTTAACAGTGTAAGGAATATATATACTGTAGTCAGAAAATCTAGATCTTCATGTGAAGCTTGCATTTTATTTTAATTTTTTTGTTTTATTTTTAATATGATTAAATAATTTCAAATGAAAAGTGTGTAGGTCATGTGTGTATGATTACTAGCCTTTAATTTTGCCTTCTACTTTGAACTTTTTCTTTAAAGAATACCATAACTTTGAGTTATGCATATAACATACACTGTTGTCTGAAGTACACTATTTTCTGGAAAAAATAATGCCAAGCTTTCCTTTGTCACAGAGAAAGGAGAGGGGGGCCAAGGAGAGCAGCAGTCTCAAAGTGGAAGCTGGTCCAGCCCTCAGCTCCCTTCGCGAACACAATCTGTGAGGTCACCTGTTCCTTATAAAAAGCAGCTCAATGAGGAACTGCAGCGACGTTCTTCAGTATTAGGTAAAGCAGTGTTCTCACTTCATGCCTATCTGTATGTTAGATTTTCCCATTGTCATTCTGTTTTACAAGTTGGTTGTTCACTTAACTCTCCTGCTTTTTGGAATAGTCATGCATTCTTCAGAATAAAGAAAACTCTTAGTTGGGTCCTGAAAGAACTTGTAGATACCTGAAAAAATTCTCAAACATGACAATAAACTTTGATTTAGGTATGATACATACCTCTTGACTTTTTTTTTTTTTTTTTTATCTTACTTGATTGGGTTTCAGCAGAAAACAGTTTGCAGCATTCCCAAGAGAACACAGGTCAGTTTCAACTTTGTGAATGAATTTTACATCTGTTGTTGGGATGCTAATGTGCATGCCTCTGGCTGCAAAAGTGTCAACTCCATCACTAGGCTGCCTTGCTCCTAACCTCTGTCCTTGTTGGGTGCACACTGCCAGTGTGGCTGTCTGCCTCCCCTTGCCTGCTTGTTCTGCACCCCAGTCTACACAGTCATCTTCATTTCTGTGCTATTCTATGTGTGGGCTGAGGATCAGTGTCTGAGTTAAGAGATCAGAGGAGGTAAAGTGGTTTAGGGAAGTGGGATACAGCATTGGGAATTAAGTGTCCCTGAACACAGGATCTTGTTTGGTCTAGCTGATCTTTCCCGTGAGATCCCTGAGTGAGAAATAGCCCTAACGGTGGGTAGCTGTATTACCTCCATAGGTTTTCTTGGGTGAGCTCTGCCAGGACTCTGTTAGCAGTTTGAAAGGAAGAGTTGGAAGAGTTGGGAGAGGGAGCAAGAGACAGGCTCTTATTATATTCCAAACCATTTCCACTTTAGCCTTTAGCCTCCATAAATGCTTCTTAGCTTTTAAACCTGACCCATGGCAACACTATTTTTGTTGAAGTTCTTGTCATTACTATCCTGAATTGGGATATTGTCTGAAAAATTTCATCTATTGCCCCTTCTTTGGTGGACTCTGAGCCTTAAGTTTTGCAAATAATGCTAAACTTTGCTTTGCTACAGAGAGGAAAAGGGAGCCAAGGAGAGCAGAGGTCTCTGAATTAAGCACAAAAACTTTTTTTTTTTTTTGGCAGAACCGGGAATTAAATTCAGACCCCTGCGCTTGCAGGCAAGCGCTTATTCTACTGAGTCATCTCCCTGGCCCCACAAAAACTATTTAGTTGTAAAATTGGGGCAACTAAGACTAGAATCTAATCTTTTAAGGTTACAGCCAAGCTTTGCCTGTGGAGTTGTGATAGACTTGACTAATTCAATAAATTTCTGTAGGTGGAGCTGTAATGTCTTGCTTGCTGGAGTTTCTATACTTTATTGCCTTTATCAAGTCTACCTACTTCTTGGATTCTACCTTGCAGGCATTTGAGCTTCAGAAGCCTGGGACTGTTTGGCCAAACAAGTTCCGTGCCCCATCAACGGAGTGTAATTCTACTTAATTCTTTGACCTTAAGGAAGTTATTTTATTTTGTAGTATCCATTTAGTTAGAGAAACAGCTAAGAATATTTGCATAAGGATAAAGAAAAAGACCAGATTTTCTCTCAGGGTCTTTCTTTTAAGAGGATTCTTGTGGCTCTAGGAAGGATTGCACTCATCCTTTCCAGCGGATGGGCTGTTAATACTTGCTTTCTTTCCTAGTAGCTGAATGAAAAAAGGCCTCATAGTTTAGTGTTGCCCGTGTCTGTGAGTACTGCTGTGATCATTCTCACAGCTTCATCTCTCTCTTTTTTCATCTTGTGCCTCAGGTAGAGTAGGTTTGTCTTTTGAGGCTCAAGAAAAAAATGATCATTTTAAAACTTACCTATTAATAACCACACATCTGAGGTGTATACCATAATTAAGGTATAATTGTAGAAAGATGGAAGTTTTCAAAAATAAGTACATTTTATTTATTTTTGTATTTTAGGTAAGGGTGTAGTGGGTGTTCAGGGGCTTATTACTAGATAGGACTCGTAGTGACCTGCCTGTATATAGCCTCCCAAGACCTGAGATCACAGGCATGTACCACTAAGCCCAGTCTCAGTTGCAGCCTCAGCACGCCCCATTGGTGGGACCAGCAAGGCACGTCCCATGATTGAACCCCTGGCCCCTGTACCTGCTTGTGCTTTAATTAAAGCTCCTCAGCGCTTTAATCCGCTGAGCTATTTGGCCAGCCCTGAAGTTGAGAAGGATATATATATATGTATGTGTGTGTGTGTATATATATATGTATGTATGTATGTGTGTGTATGTATATATATATATATATATATATACACAAATTTTTTTTTTTTTTTTTTTTTGGGCTGGCTCAGACTGCCTTAAGGGTGGGTCTGGGGATTGAACCTCGGTATCCTGTGCCTGATTATATTTGCATAAGCAGGCACTTAACAACTGAGTTAATCAGCAGGCTCCCTATAGGTACAGTTTAGATACCATAATTTTTTTAGCAATTACATTTTTAGGAAGTTCTTTATAAATTTGGATTTAGATGCCTAATTGTCTTTATCTTGTAATCCTTTTTAGAGCACCTGACCAAAAACAAAACAGAACAACTAATACAGACAGTTGCAATTTGGTCTAGTGAGTTTGAGGCAGATTCAGGGTGGAATAATTTCTATTTTATAGTAGTTCCCCTTATCTGTTGGGGAAGACCCTCTGGTAGATGCCTGAATCCATAGCTTGTATCAACCTTATACATCTTATATCTTTTTGTACATGTTCATACCTGTGATAAAGTTTAATTTATCAATAGACATAGTAAGGGAGTAGGAATAATAACTAATAGTTAAATATAATAATCACACTCTAATAATAGTTCTGTGATTTTTCTGGAAAGAATTAAGTATATTTTCAGACTCATGTGGGTAATTTAAACCTTGGAATGTGAAACTAGATAAGGGAAGACTTCCTGGATTGGGGTACTTCACAGATTACTAGGTTTAAGCTAATAAGATATTCATTTTCTTTTGTCAGTTTCTTCCATTTCACCCTTAGATTTTGAAACTACTGGAGCCAGGAATAGGTACAAAGCTCAGTTGTAATTTGGTCTAAAATAAGGAAATAATAGGCAGCAACTTTTATTGGCTTGTCCTGTTCTGGCCACAAAGCTGGCTTGTTTTTATTACTGCTTGATTTGGTTTCTGTGTTGCTATTTCAAGTGAAAGCGAGCTGCAGGGTTTGGGAGATGATAGGAGGAGGAGGAGGAGGAGGTTTGGAGTTTTAGAAATCCACTGGCAATTTAGTGTGCTTGGAACTTGGTCATATTTACTATGGTAACATTTAGCATTCTGTATGTTCTGAAGTCTTTCAGAACCTTTAGGGGCTGGGCTGTTATATTTCTTTCTGATAATCTGCTCCAGAACTGAACTGTTTGAGCCTATTGCTTACCTGTTTGATTTTTGAGACAAGCTAAGTTAAGCCTCTGGGATTACCTTTTGTTCCACTAAATGTGCTGTGGTTGTTACTGGATAGGGTCACAGAGTACAATAAATCATTAGTAAATTCTGGCCATGTAAGTTATACTCCCATCCCCTCCCTAGAACTATCAGTCATCTCAGATAGTACTTGTTTCCGATAGTCGTTACTTCTTATGAAACCATGTTGTGCATTGTAATAAGAAATACTTTAGCCAGGGCTGTGGTTCATGCCTGTAATCTCCACACTTGAGCCTAAATGATTCAGTGAGGCCCTCTCTCCAAATAAAAAGTAGAAAAGGGCAGGAACATAGCTAGTGAGAAGGCCCCGGGGACAAGCCCTAGCATTGAGAAACAACAAGAAACCCCAGAAAACTTTTAATAACCTATTACTCTTATAAAGTCCAGTTTTAATTCTTAATCCATGTCATTGGGGGAACATTGAAATATACTAAAATAGGAGACACCTTTATCACATATGTACGATGTTATAAATAGGTTATTAGCAAAAATTATTGTATTTTTTTAAATCTGACTCAGATACAAGAAGGAAAGCAGAACCTACTTTTGGAGGTCATGACCCTCGTACAGCTGTTCAGCTCCGAAGCCTCAGCACAGTATTAAAACGTCTCAAGGAAATCATGGAGGGGAAAAGCCAGGTAATGTTGGGAGATTTCTTATTAAGCCCTTAGGGGGATTGTTTCATACCCACTGCAAATGGCATAGTGCTTCTTGGGGGAAGGTTTGTTTATTACTTCCTCCAGCTACAAACTATTAAGTGTTTATTAGGTCAGACTAATAGATATTCTCTCATTTACTTGAAGAAATTTTATGATTCGTGTGATTAGGGTTCAGCTTTGCATTTGTCCCCATGGATGTCCTGTTGGACCCAAGACTGATGGTTTGAAAGGACCAGCCTTTTCTGATTGCATTATGAATCTTGTAGTGTGTGGAGGGAATGTTGGAGCACTCCTGTCTGTCTATAGCTTCTTTGTTTTTTTAGAACTTTTTCATCAATACTGTCTAAATTATTTTAGCTTTAGAATAAATCTCTATAGTTAGTAATATAAATCCTTCAGTTTTTCTTCAAGATTATCTTATTTTGGCCTTTTGCATTCCACATGAAGTTTGGAATTAGCTTGTCATTTTCTACAAAAGAAATCTAGGATTTCATTTATCATTGCCAGTGTTTTCAAGAAGTCTTCATACATTTTTAAGTCTATTTTTTTTGTTTGTTTGTTTGTTTGCGGAACCAGGGATTGAACTCAGGCTCTTGTGCTTGCCAGGGAAGCGCTTATTCCACTGAGCCATCTCCCTGCCCCCTCTTCATACATTTTTATTGTTACAGGATAGTGACTTGAAGCAATACTGGATGCCAGATAGCCAGTGTAAAGAGTGCTATGACTGCAGTGAGAAATTCACGACCTTCCGACGCAGGCACCATTGCCGATTATGTGGGCAAATCTTCTGCAGTCGTTGCTGTAATCAAGAAATCCCTGGAAAATTTATGGGCTATACAGGTAAATCCATTTTATTGACCATGTAATAACTTTTAAAGTTCATGACTATAAATAGTTGTAAATTAGCAGTAGAAGCTAATATGTTTATTTTGGCCTTATGTGTTAGACATGGGAACACAGTGGTGAGGGGACGTAGTGTTACTTTTCAGAACTTTACAGTTAAGTAATGACGTAGGTGGAAATATTTATAAATAGAATAAAAACCAGCATGCCATATGTACTAACCAAACGCTGTAGCAGTACTAAAACTTCTTAGACAGTATGGTTATAGTAGATTTCTAAGTTTTATTACTATGAAGACTTTTGCTTTATAAAATAAATATCCTTGACGTATATAATAGTAAGTTTCAGAAAAGTGTGTCTTACTGTGTTCTATAAAGACCAGAGTCAAAGGGCCAGTGAGATAGCTCAGTAGACTAAGCGCCTGCCTTAATAAGTTTAGGGACTAGGATTTGATCCCTGGTACCACATGCACACAGGCCCCACCCCAAGTGCTCTGAGCTGGCCACAGAGACTGGGAGTGGTGATATATCCCAGGGCTGGAGAGGCTGGAAAGAGGAGGATCGCTATGATTCTGAGCTGCATAGTGAGACCCTGTACCACATAGAAAAAAAAAAACAACGAAAACAAAACAAAACAAAAAACAAAGTCAGATTTTAACAGTATATAAAATTGAAGTTTTATTTGTCAAAACATTATTTGGGAGTAAAAGTAGCATAAATTACCCAAAAGATAACATTGAGCATCTGTCTTATTTTTGTTATCATGCAAATCTTCCTGTTGCTCTTATTCACTTTTTTTTTTTTAAACTTAAACTGCTACCACTTTCAGAATTTCCATTATTTTTCACCCCGCTTAAGACTCCAGCTTTGAAGAGTCATTTTTACCCTTAGTTTCCTCCATTTTGAATTTATTTTTTGTAGTCTATGGAAAATTCAAATTTGTAATTCTTTGTAAAATGCTAATTTGATCATGTCAGGGTATTCTCTTTCTAATACACTTCCAAAGCTGCCATTACTCTTAGGATAAAACTCACCTGGTAAATATGGCTAGTATTGTTTCTTAGGGCTGCTGTAGCAAAGTACAAGAAGTTGGGTGATTTAGAACTCCAGAAATTTTTTGTCTTAGAATTATGGAGACCAGCTTAGGGAACTAGAATAGGGATTTTTGCCAGTTGCTAGGTTAGGTCTGTTTCATATATATATATATTCCAAAACTGGGAAAATAGTAGCATAGCCCACTTAATCCATTGTAAAATGGGCTTGAGGTAAAACTCCACCAATCACCTAACTTCTATGAGCGTCTACTGTGACTGTTGGCCCATGTTTGAGTCTTCTGGGATTACTGTAAAATTAAATGATGTGGTATAGTCATTTTTGTAGAATACCATGGTTTCCTTTAGTGAAGGTAGAAAGATGTCTTGGATACTTTCCTCTTTGATGTGTCAAAATATCTGACACTCAAAGTTAAAGGAGTTAAAATTTAAGGGAGAAAAAATATTGGACACTCAAAGGTTGACATTCAGATGGGTCCAGGGCAGGGTGGTGTGGCAGAGGGACATGGCAGAGGAGAGGCAGTCTCTATGGGAGGCAAGCAGGAGACAGCAGAGTGATAAGCAAGCAACAGCAACAAAAGCCACAGCTGTAGAACATGCCCCATTTATCTCTTCCATGCTGTTGGGTGGTGCCACCCCCACCCAGGGCGGCCTTCAAATCACTCACACCCAGAACTATGCTAGAACAATCAGTAGACTAATTTAGTAATCACACACCCGTAATTCCAGCATCACACAATTGAACCTAAAGCATCACGTGAGATCTAGCCTCTTTTCAGAACTCCAACCTATGAGTACATGAGACTTTGGAGGGACATCTAGATACAAGCCATAACAAAAGATTAACAGTTTGAGTTTCTGGCAATATAGTGGCATGCTTCTTTAAGGTTACCTAGTCTCTTCTTTATTCTTGGAATTTTGGGCCAGTAAATGGCTGGTGAATCAATTGAGGGTTGATGACTGTTGATTCATGTTTTAGACTTCTGTCCACTTGTGGAATTTTATTTGTATAAGTCAAGTAAGAACTTAGATTGCCCATCTACTTCACATCTAGGGACACTGTGATCAACTAGTTAATGCTGTAAGTCCCATTGAGTCAGACTATTCTGATTACTGCTTTGACTAATGTCTACCTTGTCTTTGGGTATTAAGTGCTGCTCTGCCACTCTGGAATTCAGTTATCCCCATTACATTTAGTTTTCTTGATTCAGTGGTAGCAGTTCCTGCATAATTTCTGACCTATGGGTCAGTGAGACAGCTCAGTAGTCTAAAGTGCTTGCTTAGGCAAGCTTAGGCGGATACAGGGAACCATAGTTTGATTCCCAGCACCACATGCTGTGCCAGTTCCGCCCTCAGGGTGGGCTGAGCTGGCCTCAAAAAATAAAATTAAAAAATAGAAAATAATTTCTGATCTACAAATAACACCAACCATAAGAATAAACACAGCTCTTCAAGGGTGCTGGGATTCCCTTCATAATTTTTCATAATGCACTTAAAGGTCTATCCTCTAGGACCCATGAGCAGGTTTTTTTTTTTTTTTTTCAGTACTAGGGATTGAAGTCAGGACCCGTGCTTGCCAGGCAAGCACTTATTCTACTGAGCTGTCTCCCCGGGCTCAGTGAGCGGGTTTTATACAGCAACTTCACTGTCTTCTTTTTTGGAGGGTATGTATGACCAAGTAAAATTTGTTATGGACCGAGTGCTAAAACAAAGTTCCTAATATCCATAGACAAATTATTTAAGTTTATGTAAAGAGAATCCCTGAGGTCATCCTTTTCTTTCCTGATTTTGTATGCTGCAGTTAGGAGCAACTACTGGTAGTTCATCTCTTTATGCTACTTGTTAGTTTGGCAAAAATGTTCACAGATATTAAATACATGGTTACTCAGAACCCTCATTCATTCATTCATTCATTCATTCATACATTCTTTTTGTTTTAAGTAATACTGGGGATCAAAACCAGGAGTAGTGTACTACTGAGTATCTCCAGCCCTGAGTTCCTTTCTTTGTTGCTGGGATAAAATACCTGACACCCAAAAGTAAGGAAGGAAAGTTTTATTTAGCTCACAGTGGAGATTTCAATCCATACTCAGCTGGCTCCAAGACAGAGTAGCACGTGGCAGAGGGCAACCATTCGTGGCTGTGGTAAAACAGCAAAGAGCAAGGGGAGGGGGTCGCAGCTGCAGCTTCTAGCAAGTTTCTCTCCTCTCCTTATGTTGTAATGCAGACAACCCCAGCGCAGGAGTAACCCTCACACCCATAATCCCCACATTGTATTATGAATTAATCACAGATTCTAGAGGGTGCCCCTTGACTGCATGAAGCCTTGGGGGGACACCTAGACACAAACTGTAACATTCCACCCCTGGCCCTCCAAAGACTCATGCACATCCCTCTATGCAAAAGACATTTTAGTCCATCTCTGAGAGTTGCCAGAATCCTAACAGTTTCAGCGTTGCTGAAAAGTCCAATTCCCAAGTCTCCAAGATCTAAGGCAAACTCTTAGCTGTGAGCCCCTGTACAAATGAAAAGTTAAATACTTCTAACATTCAGTGGCACAAGATAAACATTACCATTCCAAAGGTACAAACAGCAGGATACAAAGCATTGGGACCAAAGTAGGTCCAAAATCCAGAAGGGCAAACATTAAGTCCTGTAGTTCCACGTGGAACATCTGAAGCTATCTGTGGCAAATTGTTAGCTCCACGTGACTCCACCTCTAGGGTATTTCTGGTGGTATCACTCATGGCTTCTCTTTTAGGCCTGCTTTGTTCTCTCCTTGCAACTTTCCTTAGATGATCCACATTCCTGGCTTTTCCAAATTTCTGGGGTTTTCATTGCATGTTAGGCTTCTCACTCACTGCTTCACGTACTGTATTCTCAGAGGCACACTGCCTGGCTTCCCGAGCCTTGTTCTGAAATCTAGGTGGAAGCCTTCTTAATCTCAGAACTCTTACATTTTGCATGTGATACCAAGGCCTTCTGCCAGCTGGAACAGTAGCCAGGTTTTCTTCTCTCATGGCTGTAGGAGTTGAATGCCTGGATTACTGAGCACTCTGATACTGATTCTGAGGAGCAAATTCTCTATGATGCTGCCATTCTGGAACTTGGCCCTCTGTGGCTCTCTCCTCAAAGCAGTTTTGAGGCTGCAGTGGGTGTAGGCTTGCTTCTTGTGATGCCCTCAGGCTATCTTTTCTACTCTCCTGTTCCTCCACAATGGAGATCTTTTAACTCAATCTTTGCAGTCCACAGCTTTATTAGAGCTTCCTTTCTGGTGAAAGTCACCTTTTAAGCCATCCTGCTGGGCTGTTTGCTCTTGAGTCTCGATATAAATCTGACTAAAAGTTCCCAACAATAGCCATTGAGCCACTACCTCAACATTTAACTGCCTTGAAATTTCTTTTGCAAGATTAGTCAGTCTTTCACGCTTAATGTTAGTTTCATGCAGTCTCTGGACATGAGCAAAATGCAGACAAACTTTCTCCCAAGTGCTACCACACATCGTCTGGAGTCCACCAACCAGTGTAGTCCTTCTTCCCATAAGAATCCTCCACAGCCTGGTCACAGCAGGACTTCTGTCAGCCTTCTGGTCATGTAAGCTTTGACCAGACTCTCCCATACAGAACAACTGAAGACATTCCAGTGCTTCTCTTTTGGAATGTCTTCAAACCTCTCCTATCTCTTTCCATAGCCGTTCCCAAAGGCCTTGGACAATATGGTCAGGTATAGTCACAGCAACGACCCCACTTCTTGGTACCAAATTCTGTCTTAGTTACTTTTCTCTTGTTGCTGGGACAAAATGTCTGACACCTAAAATTAAGAAAGAAAGGTTTATTTTATGTAGCTTACAGTTAGAGGTTTCTGTCCATACATGGCTGGCTCTGAGGCACAGTGGCACATGGCAGAGGTACAACCATGGATTGGAAAACAGCAAAGAGCAAAGGAG